TAGTATTCACATTCTAATACAAATAAAGCGATAAATGGTAAACACATTATTGCTTCTACGCGAAAAATTATCGTGTTCAAAAATGAGATGTCATTCCGCTGATGATACCTTGCGGTTCGTCCAAGCGCCCAACTACGAGAAAGGGCACATAAGGGATAAGTTAGCTCACTCTGATTCATTTTCAACTACAGCGTTGAATCCTCAAGATGAAGACACTTGTTGTACTGTTGCTGTTTTCAGTTTTCTTGGTTTTGCAGTTCTATAACTCCGATGGGTTTTCTTTCCCCTCTATCATCGACGACGCAAGAGACGCTATGATGAAATTCTCGACGGGAAGATATAAAGTCTCAAAGAAGACTCCTCCGGTAATTCTGATACAGCATCATAAGAATGAAATTATAGTCTTAAAATTTCATTCGCTTAAATAATTTCATAAGTGTTAATTCAGTACCATCAATTTGACTTAGTGAGATTAATATTTTCACTTCATTGTTGCAAATCCATTGCTGTGTTTCTTTGTTTAATGAATTTGTGTTCTAAATCATATAAGTTCTATTTAATATACTATTTCTCGAAAAATAGTGGAGCACTGTAACAAAATCAAGTGAGTTTGCATCGACGAGAAGCCACTTAATTTGAAACATTTGCAAGCTATTATTTACTGAAATTGCGAATTTTTTTCTTTTATTGACAAAATTTGATTGTGTGTTAATAAATTGGTATTTTTGTTATTAATTAGCACGGTAAAAAGCCTTCCTCATCTTCACGCCGTCGTCGAAGATCTTCCCGCCGCTTGATTATTCCAGGCCTTTCAGCACATGTCTCAGTCTCGAGTAGTAAGCCACTGCCTACTTTTCGTTGGCGAACTAAACCTTCAAACAACTTCTTAGAAATTCTTGTGAAAGTTGAAAGGTCAATACTGGAAGCAAAAGCAAGCGGCAATAGAAGAGCAAGCCTGTCCAGACTGACAAGAAACATCAAGTTGGCACTTTCCAAGAAAAGTTACCTCTTCGCAAGACAGACGCTTGGCCAAGCCCTTTACAGTGCTTTATCCACCAGTAGATCTGGAAAACGATCAGTCTCTAATTATGGCGCTCAATACCTCAGAAAATTGAAGAAGGAATTAGGTGAAAAATTATTTAACAAGTTGGTTGGGTTCAATGATGATAAGACACTGACGTTTGCTATTGATGACACTGGAAGTATGGGCGATGAAATCCGCGCAGTCAAGGACATTTCAATAGCGCTGGTCAAAGGCATGAAAGGAAAATCGGACATAGACTACATTCTATCAGTTTTTAACGATCCACTTTCAGGTAAACATATAAATCAAGATCTTTAATTATGTTCATTACACTTATCGTTTAGACTTTTCTTGTAATCCAAACATAAGTATTTAAACAGTCGTAGCAAAGTTTTTTGCCTAATGTTTTTATGTTCAAAATAAAGACAATTTTTATTTAGATTTAAAACTTAAAACTTTAAGTGTTTTAAGAGTGGATGTCTGTAAAGATCGAACAAATGTTGGCAACGGCTGAAAAATCGATTTCGCTCATATTTTGTAGGTAGGTAGAGGAATGTTTCCTAAGAATCCCTATGTATTTGGTTTGCTTCAATTTTGCAATAAAACTGAGAAAATCGACTTTTTCTAGAGGCACCTCGAAATGTCGATATTCGCTGTCGATTTTGGCTCGACTTTATGAAGCTCTAAATAAACACCAAGTAACGCAAACAGAAAAATACCTTTGAGCCTTTGTAACACCACACTTTGTTTATGAATAGCGTGACTTTGAGCGTGGTTAACGGATTAAAACATATTGAAAGCGTTATTTTCCCTAGAGATGTATTTTAAGTCGCAAAAAGTAGGGTGAACAAACTGGCTAACTGCGAATTTGTGAAACCTTTAAAGCTCATGAAATCTGGATATTTTGTAGTTCTAACAATGTACTTTAAGAAGTTTGAATCAAATCTTTGGGCAATTGATTGTTTTGAAGTACGCGAATTAAGCTCTCATATGTCACATAAACTTGACCTTTGGCGCAAACGGCTAAACAATGGATATAACACTGTCGAGCCAAATAATTGGCACAAAAATCGTTAACAATCTTTTGCAAGCCCGTAAAATATAAGTTCTTAATTAAGTCTTACCTTTGGATGAGGAAAACAGCGAAAATTCGATGATATTTTAGCCCAGGAAACAAGCTTGTCACTTCATGTTCGGGAAACTGTCACACTGAATACTCAATTAGACACAGGTAGCCCAGTAATTCATGATATATTTGTACTTCATATTATTTGTTTATAATTTTACAGTTTAGAAAACTGACGTGCATACACAAAATATTTTAATATTAAAAATGATCGAATTTGTTCATTTTCATGAGTTATAATTCATGTTTTTGGCCAAAAATTGACTCGACCAAAATTGCCCATTTTTGTGCGCAAAATGGTCTCCAGCCAATGTGGCCATTTTCGTGGGCTATAGCCAATGCTTTGGACTAAAACCGAGTTTGGGTATTTTCAAAGACTATAACCCGTGCTTTTTGGACCGAACAGGCCATTTTCATGGGCTTTTTGGCCCAAAATCATGGTCTCCAGCTATTTTTATGGGCTGCAGCCAATGCGTTTTGGCGCGAAATTTAGTGACAAATATATATTTGATCATACAGTTCACTTACAGAAAAAAA